TCATAGTAGAGGATGAATTTTGTCTTCTAACATTCTGTTTTGTTTTGCTTTTCGCTTGTGTTCTTTGATGTTTTTCTCGAGTGATAAGTGAATCTGAGCATTTGTCAACTTAACACTACATCCTACTTTTTGTTGTATATTCCTATGAATTCATTCTAATTCACTCAAGTACCTGGAAATTATAACGATCATTTCCATATGAAAATATGAAATAGTTCTTGCAGTTTAAAAAAAGTGAGACTGATTAAATGAAGAAATGCACAATTTTTATACCTGAACACACACTTTGGCAAAGATTCCAGGAACCATATGAACAGTAGCTGTGTGCATGTCTATTTAAATCCACTTCTTTCTTTATGCCTTTAATTTTGCAATACACTTAACTCTTATATCTGTGCAGATGACAACGTTTCAGCAAAATAATAGTAGTAATATCTACTTTAGTTACATGAAAATGCTTTATCTTTTTCCTCATTGAGTCTAATGGTAAATTTTAGGTATACAGTGCACTTACATTCATCATTGGGATCTTGTACCTTTACATGGCAGGTCTTGGTTAATGCTTTATTGAGATCTAAGCCCGCATACTTTACAAAACAACTTGAACTATTCACCATTGGAGAAGCACAGCTGTATTTATTCTCACACTGATGACTGCACCCACGGGATGATGGCGATCATGATGAAGTCGTTACACTCCCGGTTCCTGTGCAGCGCTGTCTCACACCAGGTCTCCACCGAGTGTGCACTCAGTGTCTCCTCACAGGCAGCTGTCTTCCTCCAGGTTGACTTCTGGAATACTCAGTGTGACATTCCCACCAGAGTCTACCTTTCTTAAATGTCAATGGAAAGATCTAGAACAAGTTTGAACTTAAACTTCAGGTGGTGACCTCATGCAGTGTAGGACAATGAGACCGATTTCATTCCAAAGAGCTCCATGCAGTGGGTTCTGCACATTGATGAGGTGTCTTCCTCCTACTACCTGCTTATGGATTAATGCTGCTGTGTCACTGGGGACCTTTGGGGAGGCATATAAGTCAGGGACACTCAGATGGACAAAATATCACCAGATTCTATGGGCTTCTTTATGTCCCCCCAATTGTTCATTATACCATGGAAGATATTGAAAATAAATATTATGTCATCGTGTAGTGAAGCCATTTCTTCCCAGGTGAGCAGAATAATCTCAGCCTCTGTGCAGTCTTTGCTGTTCAGTGCATCTACTGTGGAAATGCTCACAGAGAAGGGGACCTAGGTGAGCTCTCCACACACTGGCAGAACTCTCCTCTCCTCATTTGGCTCCTCTCTGGCACCTGAGAGTCCACAGAACCCCCCTCACAGAGTGGAGAATTCAAGTGTCCCGAGGTCACTGCAGAACATCTCCTAGAGGTGTGGACAGGCAGGAGCAGGTATGGCCAGGTGTGCGCAAGGACTGCGGTGGCTTTCCACAGAGATGACACCGAATCCTTGTCAGGAGGACCGACTTCCTTGTCAGGGTCAGAGCTCAGCCCTGCACCGGCGGCAGGGTCAGTGCATGGCCACTCGGGGGCGTTCGGGTACTTCAGGCAGTGAGAGAAGAGAGAACAGATGCAGATTGCTGAGGAAGCAGGCAGACTGCGTCATGAACCTGAGACATTTATCTGTTTATTAGTATTTAAATGTTTGACACTCGTTTTAGAGGCTTTTAAAAGTTGAATCTAGGATTTCTTAGAAAACGAACCGCAAATAAAATTTAGGAGAACTTTTGGTGAATTTAGCTTGCTCCACCTCTGAAAACGATCAGAATAGATGCATTGAAAGCAGCATTATGTGTAAATTCCTGTCTCTCAGAATCCTCTGTTGACAGGAAGCAGAGTGGGAGAGCCTGTGCTGCAGCGGAAACTGCACGGTGCAGACACTCGGGGGCGCCGCTCCGAGGTTCCCAGCTGTTTCTCTTGATTCCTCTCTGGGCACAGATGAGTCAAATGTCTGTGTTCGCTTATTCCTGCTCTGATAAGGCTGTTACATGGAGAAAATCTATATATTTTATTAATACTACATTCCTAAAAAATTCCATCAAGAGTATTTCATTTCAACTCTAAATAGAAGTGCAAGGAAAATAGGTTTCTGCAATTAAACGATGACTTCTATTGAGGAAAACAGAGTTCACTTTCATGCCTGGGCAACACATGGGGAATTTCAGGCACGATGCTGAATATGTCCCCAGAGTTATACCAGAGATCTGTTGTTTCTGTGCTTCCAAATCCTCCTGTAGGAATGCTGATTCACAGGGAGTAGGACATAAATTGAGATTGACACCTTCTTGAAAGCATTTTCTAGTTAAGATATTTAGAGTGTTGTGGGATCTTGCAGAGATCCAGCCTGAGAGGTGAGAAAAGGTACACAGAAGATGCCGAAGACAGTAACTGGAAAACAGTAAGACAATGTATTTCAGCTTAAAGAAAATGTGCACTTTTTCTCAATTTACCTTCTTTAGGAAATTTCTATTTCAATTCATTTTTCAACTTTCATTTCATTTTATTTTTGATTATTTTATTGTGGAGCCAATTTATGATTATTCTCTCAACATATTTCAGGAATAACTCGACCTGATATTCAAATGTTTAAACACATTTTTATTTATATATTTACACAAGCTTGTGTTCTTCAAATCATTTCTAACCAATATGCTTAACAATACACCTCATCACTAAGCTCCATACCTCCAGCCGTCCTCTCAGGCAGGACAGAATCCTGCCCCAACGCCGGCTGCTTCTCAGCCATGGACTCCTCCATCCTCAGGCTCCTGCTGCCTGCTCTTTCTCTGCTCTAGGTGTCAGCACCGCTGATGGCCTCAGTCCACAGTTTGAGGGGAATACTAGGAAAGTAAAGTAAGTGGAAATGTGGAATGGGCTTCGTATAAGTTCTACAAATTTATTTTACCTAGCAAAGACTACAAGAGCAGATGAATAGAAAAATGTTGTTTTATGTTATTGAAGCAAATGCTGGATACCTGAGGCTTCTTTCCCATCAGGAACAGCGTTTGAACTTTATGCACATGACATGATACAGAGCTGTGTTTTAGTATTTGTCATGGATTCTACATAACAACATAGTTGCTGATTGGAACCCCTGAGGCAAGGTGTCCAACGTCAGATCCCATGTGGCCTTGCATGTTTCTTCCGGCTCTGTGGGTAGGCATTACTGCCCTTCTCATGGACAGGGTGCCATGGACAGGACTGCTGTGGGATCAAGAGTCAGAAAGTGCATTGAGTTCATCACCTTAGTATATCTAATAACACAGTTTCCACTGGCTGAGGATTTAATTCTTACATAAATTCTCCAGAAGTGCATCAGTCTACTTGCATTTTGTTTCTAATGAATTTTAAAACCCTAATTTTTCTACTAATTATTTTCTTTGCCTGTCTGAACACATCAAACAATAATCCAATGTAGATCACTTTAACCTCGCTCAGCAAACAGCTCTACTTGCCTTCATCCATATTGGGAATCCACATACAGAATAAATTAAGGAAATTGGAGGGACAGAGCTCCTTACAATACGGTAAACACATTGAGGCCAAATGCACTGTTATTCGTTTCCTTGAGGCCTGTTCTGTTGAACTGAGGACTATCACCCTGTTCTGCATTTATTGGGACCACTCACCTGCAGAGCTCACCCTTTGCCCTGAGCTAAAACTGTACCCTTAACATCCCTGCTGCTCCCCACTCACCAGCCATGGGCACCCCCTTCCTCTCTGGGTCTTAGCCACTTTGTGCCTGCTGGGTACTGCATGGAACTGAGAATGCACAGTATTTGTCTGTGTTCCTGGCTTGTGTTGATTAAATCATTTCTCCTTAGCAGATATTGTGAATTAGGCTCCTATGAAAATCGCTATTAAAAGAACTCAGAATCAGTTGATCATGTTCAAATTTTGTCCAATTTTTGTGAAATTGGTGTACCACTTTCCATACTGTCCGAACTATTTGTATTACTCACAAAAATGCAGAAAGATTTCCAATTTCTCTACACATTCAGCAAAATATAAATTGTTTTATTTGGTTCATTAATGAAAGCTTTCCTACTGAATGCACACTGTGTTTCATTATGATTGTGATTTTCATTTCCTGAATGATAACAGGTGTGTTGCTGGTAGAGCTATGAGAATAGCTCCCTTCCAAACAATGACAGGTACTGAGCATCTTTCAATGGGCCCCAATCCCATGGGGATGTGCTCACACAGAAATTCAGAGCACTGTAAAACTTCTGTGGAGGACAGAATTCAGAGAAAAATATCATGCTCAACACTGAAACTAAAAAGTATGAATCAGTACAACTTTATACATGAGGTGCATGGCAATTACCATAAATAGTAGATTTATGTAGAAAGAAATCCTATGGTGATTCCATGCATAAAGGCAGTTTTATATGGGAGAATTGGCTAAACTCTATCAAAGAAGGACCAGCATTTTCTTAAAATAAGTGTTTATGGAGTAAGATTATAGATTTAAATCTGAAAGACTGTTAAAGAATAAACCATTCGTGGGGTATTAACATTTATCAATAATGTAAAGCAAAATTGAAGTACTCTTTTAAGATTTTCTAGCATAAATATTGAACATAAATGAGATTTGGATGTGGTACGAAACCGAATGAAGCAGTGAACCATTTCATATCTTGAGGACTCATAATGCAAATAGGGTGCTGTAACTTGTGAGGTATCTTATGAAACTTTTAGGTAATAAATGGAGGTTTCATAAAATAGGAATATTTTCATTTATACTTTTTCAAAATTGATTCTTTATCGAAGATATAGAAGTTATGCATAAGTCATTTGCTAGTTACACTAGGACATTTAGAGTGGCTAATGATCAATAGATATTCATTCTCACATTTCAAAATGTTTGCAAATCAGGAGTAAATCGTGAAGGAATTGTACTATGGAATTTGTCAAATTTGATAATGATCTACACCTATTCACTAATATGTCTGTGTTTAGCGTGAACCATACTGATTCTCCATGGCAAATTACAATCAGACGTCCACTGACTTCATCCTCCTGGGCCTGTTTCCCCCATCCAGCCTTGGCCTTTTCCTCTTCTCTCTCACCATCCCCACCTTCCTGATGGCCCTGACTGGCAATCTGTGCATGGTCCTGCTCATCCTTCTAGACACCGAGCTCCACAAGCCCATGTACTTCCTGCTCAGTCAGCTCTCCCTCATGGACCTCATTTACGTCTGCACCACGGTGCCCAAGATGGCTTCCGGTTTCCTGTTTGGGAACAAGTCCATCTCCTTCTTTGGGTGTGGGGTGCAGATTTTCTTTTTCCTAACTTTAGCAGGTTCAGAAGGACTGCTCCTGATGTCAATGTCCTATGACCGCTATGTGGCTATTTGCTTCCCTCTGCACTACCCCATCCGCATGAACAGAAGAGTGTGTGTGCTGATGATCCTGGGATCCTGGGCCATGGGTGTTGTCAACTCCTGTGTTCACACAGTCTATGTCCTCCACATCCCTTATTGCAGGTCCAGAACCATCAATCATTTCTTCTGTGATATCACAGCCATGGTTACTCTGGCCTGTGTGGACACCTGGGTATATGAGTATTCTGTGTTCTTTAGCACCATCAGCTTTCTCCTGATCCCTTTCATGGTCATCCTGGGTTCCTATGGGAAAGTGCTCCTTGCTGTCTACCACATGCGCTCACAGGAAGGCAGGAAGAAGGCCTATGCCACCTGTAGCACCCACCTTACTGTGGTAACTTTCTACATTGCACCCTTTGCTTACACTTATCTCCGCCCAAAGTCCTTCCGCTCCCCCACAGAAGACAAGATCTTGGCCGTCTTCTACACCATCCTCACCCCAGTGCTCAACCCTGTGATCTACAGCCTGAGAAACAAGGAGGTGCTGGGGGCCCTGTGGAGAGTGGCTCAGAGAATCTGCTCTCAGAAAACGTAGGCAAAATTTTGCCCTGACAGTTTCATCTTTGTGTAAGCACTAGAACTATATTCAATGCCTATGTCTCACAAAGTGTCATGAATCTGTAAGTTTTACAACTTTTAATATTAGGTACAACAGTTTTATATTTTGAGTCATTATTTTTATTTTTATATATTGAGTGACCTCTGACAATTTAATTAGCCTATATCTTTCGTGATTGTGAAGTGAACATTTTGCAAACATGGAGAAATGAAAAGGGAATATGCAGGAAACTTTTTAGACTTAAGAGCATGAGGTATAGTCAATAACTTTGTTGAATGTTTACATTTAAAAAATCTTGCAGTAAAAGACTTCCTTAATCCTCCTCAAAATCTCCTGTTTACACAGGATTTTGCTGTTTTCTGAAGCAGTTCTGAAAGTCTTCTTTTCATCATTGGTTGGGCTGCCATGGCTCCCTTTATGTCTTGCATGGATTCAAAATATTTTTAGATTCTTGGTTATTTACTTATGGGAGAAGGCCCAAGTGTGCATAGTACCAAATCTGGATGAAAAGCCCACTGTCACGTTTATGAGCCCGACTTTCCATTGCAAAGTCCTGGGTGGAAGAATTCACTATAATTTTTGTCATCGTTTCCAAAGACCCTCCCCTAGAGGACTTCCACTCGAGGGCATAAACAATCTGATAGTTGTACACTAACTGCATCACATGAACTTTCACTGCCATAAACACAGTCTGTCTAAAGGTCTTCCATTTGGTCCTCTTTTAACATTTTTAATTCACAATTTCTGTCACTGACTTCCTTCAGGAGATCATTCTCTCTTTCATATTTCTCTTATTACAATGGAAATCAGTTAGAGTTACGAATCTGATATTGTCAGCTAGAGGGGTTGAAACCTGAAAAGTAGGTTCATGGCACTTCAGCAGAAAATAGAATGCTACGAAATGCCTGGGGACATCACCGGGAAGGAGGGGAATGCAGTCTGGACACTGACCATTGGACGGTTTCCAGGGCGTACCAACGGAAGGCTGAAGGCTCTGCTCTTCCTGGATTGGGTCGTGTGGGGCCCAGGACCGCGAGGCAAGTCCTCGGACAGGTAATCACTGCTCGGCGCTGGCAACAAGCTGCCCCCTCCGGAGTGCGGCAGACCACACCAGCTCGGGACCCACTAGGCCAGCAGGGCCCCAAGCAGGCTCAGGACCTTCAGGCACAGGTGCTGCAGCCATGGGGTCCCGTTATGTTCATGTGGATCAGTACGAAAGAGATACAAGAGTGTTAGGAGTTTGGTGAAGGTGTGAAAGTGAGGGAAAAAGTCCCAGAACATGGACAAAGTGAACTGATGGGCTCTCTGTTCCCCAGTTGGGTAAAACATAATCTTAAATCCATGTTTCAAAGACACTGGGAACTGAAACCTGCCTGGGCAGAGAGGAGCAGAACCTCTGAGGTCAGGAGAAAGTGGGAGCCAGGGGCAGCCCTGTGTCATGGGCCCGGGCAGCTTGGCCTGGGCCTCACAGCTCTATAGGAGTGTGCCGTGCGAAGGCTTTGGCCTCAAGCTCCGCAGCCTCTCAGCTGCCCCAGGGCTCTCAGAGGCCCAGAACAGACCCAGAGCTCAGGTGCTCTGGACACAGTCTCCTTGCTGCACATCCTGGATAAACTGAGGCAGGACTTGCCGAAGTTCTGGCCCTGCAGGTGGTCTGAAGAGATGGCAAAGTCCTGGAGATGTACCTCGGCTGGAGCGTGCTCACCTAACACAGCCCAGGCTTTGAGTTCCGTGCTCAGCAGGGTGAAAAGAAAAACAAAGTCCTCGTGACATCACTCGTACTTGTGAGATAAAATGGATTGCACCACAGGAGATGTAGGCGGTGGCTACCAGGTTTCAGGACTGGGCAGAAGTGGGGAGACGTAGGCCGGATCCCACAGCCGTTCATCACAGAGGCGAGGAAGCAGAGAGACCTCGTCCACCTCTTAGGGTAAAAATGAGCACTGCTGTAACGCATGCCACATTTTAGAGAACGTAAATTTCAGTTGCTCCGATTGTGACCCAGGAAGAGGAGTATGGAAGATGCTGTTCCGTGGGTCTGCTTAGAGCAATGATCAGTTCCCTGCATGTAAGCATCGGAATTGTACAGGTCACACAAAAATAAAGGAGAAATAAATAAACCGATGCCAGGCTGAAGTCGCGTCTGCAGTTTTCTCCCTAAAACACCGCGGTGCTATCACATCCGTAATGGGGCTGCGCCTGCCCGAGCGGACCCCACGCCGCATCCGTGGTTCCCTCGCTCTGCCCCGCCCTTGCTGTGATCTGTACACTAAACGTAAGGAGCTCCCCGAGGAGCTGTCAGGACCACGAGTGTGAAACCGCCCACACTCAAGCCCCGAGATGGCAAAGCTTTGAGAGACGGAGCACCCAAACTGCAGCCCAAAACCCACTCATTTATGACAAAGTGCCCACACTGCAATTAAACCTCAATAGTCAAGTTTTAGTTTAGAAAAAAGCAACTCATACATTAAAAGAAAAACAAAATAGCATGCACGCCACAGGCTCACCACCACAATGAACAGATGAATGGAGGAAAAAATGGTGTATTATACCGAGTGGAATACTACTCTGCCATAAAGAGGAAGAAGCTTGAGTCATTTGTAAGAGAACGAAAACACCTTGAGTCTCTACTACTAGTGAAGTAAGTCAGACACACAAGCTTAAATATTGCATAGTCTCTCCCCTATGAGAAATCCAATGAAATGAACCAAACAGCAAAAGTAAAGATATTTTAAAAGAGTTAGGTCTTTTGTAAATGGAAATAAAATCAACAGATGGAAGTGGGCCGAGAAGGGAACATGAAAAGGATTATGAGTTGGTATATACATTGTATCAGCTTGCCACGAGCAAAGAAATCATGTAGTGCAAGCACGTACTAATAAAAATAAGGAAATTTATCAGCTTTTCAAGTGTAAAAATATTGAACAATCTGTCTCTTCATGAAAATTAATCAAGAATAAATATAATAGGAACATTTTAAAATACTTCAAAAGCAAATGGAGTGAAAGTATAACATTCTAAGACAAGGTATGATCAATGTGTTACCCAGAAACTGTGAGACTTTGGGAACATGTAAGTTATTGTACACAGTAAAAATTAAATTTGTGAATGCTCTGTGAATAATTCACTCACATGTCTGTAATAACACCATTTTATTTTCTATTTTGATAAGAGAAAAGTGTTTTATGTATGAATAAATTTTCCAATAGAAAGAAAACAATATAATCCTACACAGTACACATTTTGTGATCTGAATAGATCTAGTAGAGTTTTTCTAAAACAGAGTATGACTGTGCCATAAAGCATGAGAAGCTAGACACATGCATAGCTCAGTGGAGGCACACTGAGGCCATACTCTCAAGTGAGACAAACAGGACGCACGAGTAAATACTGAGCAGTTTCTCTGGTGTGAAAAACCAAAAGTGTAAATAAGGTTCAAATGGAATAATTGATAGCGTGAAATAGGGGAAAGGAAGTAAGGGATAGGGAAAAGACAAAAGTCATTCCACTTACACTTGTTCCTCCCGAGAAATTCAGTACCCACTGTGCTCTGTCCTCCCCTTGGTCTCAGACCAGGCCGTGTCCTCAGGGACGGGCCCTCCTGTTGGTCTCAGTGGACCTTCTCTAGGGTCAGGACAGTGCTGAGACTCAGTCTGCAGCCACAAGAGGAGGGACCCTGGCTGCTGCTCAGTCTCCCAAAGGCCTCTGAGATGCCAGGTGGGGTGAGATGTTTATGGGTACATTTGTCAGCACAGGACTCAAGGGGTCCACTAGGAAGCACGACTGCTCTGCTGTGACTGTGGCCTCATGGTGGACCTGCGAGCTCAGGAGATCTGGGAGAGGTGGGCAGGTCCGGGGTGACAGAGCAGAGTGGACTGACCCGCTGGTGTCCAGCTGAGTGCTGTGGAGGGAGGTCGGGGGCAGGTGGCACTGACCGAGCTTCTGTCTCCCGCTGCTGGTCTTTCTATCACTCAGCTTCCGGGGCACCTGGACCTGAGCCGCTCTGCTTCTCCTGCCTCTCCGCCATGCACTTCCTGACGTGAAGCCAGGGCCCAGCAAATGCAGCCGGGAGCCACACGGACCCTCTCTTCTTTGTGGTGTGGGTGTCGGGTGTGTTTTCCAGCAAGTGCAAAGCGGACCGGTGCCACAGGACATCAAGGAAGCAGGTGGTACGAAGTGGGAGGACTTGTGGTACGAATGCCAATTCTACTTGCACTGATTTCATGGAAGGTGAGTTTGCAGCCCAGCTCTTGTGCAGCAGAAATCCAAGGAAAGGAGGTGCACACCACAGAAGCTGCACCATCTAATCGTGAGCATCCTCTGCACAGTGAGAGTGGTGTCAGCAGGGAAGACCTCAGGGTCACATCATCTCAACACAGAACATAACCTGTCATGTTCCGGGTCAGAGGGTGAGGACAGCCAGTGCTGGGCCTGTCCCCAAGTCTCCTCCCAGACAGCACAGACTCCCGACTCAAAGCCTCTGCTTCTCTGCTGCCCGACTGCGCCCTCTGAGGCTTCCTGCCCGCTCTTCCTCTGGTGTAAATGTCGGTGCTGCTGATGTCTCCTAGGCAAACAAATTGAGGGGCAGAGGAGAAAATCAAAGTAAGTGGAGATGATCAGAGTGGAGCTGATATACAGATGCATGTTGGGTTTTCTGTGAAAGTGTCTCTTGCCCTACTGAAGCAAATGCTGGGTGTCGGAGGCTGCTCGGTCAGGGACAGTGTTCCACCACTGTGTGCACGACAGCACACGGTGCGCTACTGTAACGCTTGCCCACCAAGGTGGAGCAGCGGAGAGTCGCTGACCCGGCTCCTGAGGTGCGGCGTCGAATGGCAGCTCTGGTGGCCATTTGTTCTTCACTCCCGTGCTCCTGTTCCAACCTGACTGTGTCACAGGCAGGCTGCCACGGACGGCACTGTGCCAGCCAGACACAGGAGTGGCTGTAGTGTCCAGGGTGCTAGTAACCTCTAAGATCCTCC